TTTGGGCCAATCACCAGGAGACGGGGAGTTCTAGTCCCGCCTTAGGCAGGAAAGTTGCCTGGGGAATTCTGGGAGCTGAAGTCCACACATCTGAAAATTGCTAAACTTGAGAAAAACTGGCTTCGACTTGGATCACGTGGGGAAGTGAGTTTGGGGAAACCAAAACCCAGTTCAGGGGCAGGGAACGCATCAGTCCCCATCACTGGCATAAATTGACATAAATGCAGCAGAAACCAAACAATGAAGGCAATTAACCAGTGGAACGACTTGCCACCAGAAGTGCTCCATCACTGGAACTTTTTAAGAAGAGAGTCTGAGAGTCTTAAGACTATCTGACAGTTGAACAGAACTCTTTGTATTTTCTCTTAGGGCTATTTCCGGATGGACAGGGATTCGAACACCTGTGGGATTGCCATGTCTGTCACAACAGCCACCCTCAAAGATCTGGGAGGACAGAAGCCGGCTGTTTGTCCTAGATGATGGTGTGCGTGCATCTGTCTGCCTTTAAGGCAACCGCTTTGGAGCCCTCAGCCCTATTAATTTTCAAGCTTTTGCAACCTGGTGCCCTCCAGTATTGGCGGCCTGACACGTCTTGATTTTCCTCTGAATTATTCAGTTTCTTTAAAATGCAGGGTCTCTCGAATTTTTCCTAATTTTAAGAGCAGCAACCGATGAGTAGTGTAACTTTTCAGAATTGCTAAGTACAGCACTTGGAGAAATGATGGACCGAATCTCCAGTTTTGGTGCAAAATCTTTGTGTAGAAAAACCTGGCTATTTTCTGTGTGTGTGGGGGGCGGGGTAAGGAGGGGTGTGGAAAGGAATATTTGAATGGAAACGGAATCAAAACGCATGGACAGAATATTATATATCCAAATAAAGAAAGCAGATTGTGAAAATACAGTGAACCTTGCTGGTAATCTTCATACGGAATGAATGAAAAGAGATTCTCATCAAAACAGCCGTGTGTGTGTGTGTGTGTTTGTGTGTGTGTATTTATATATTTATTTTCCAATTCTGGAATCAAAACCGTCTTTCGTTATGTATGAGCCATAAAAAAGCAAAATTTCCCGCCCGTTTCGGCTAAGAAAGGAAGAAATTTGGCTTTTCTGCCCCTGCCTTTTCTATTCCGATTAGACCTGCGTGGATGTATTTTTTTTCACACCTCCAAAGTCACAAGGCCTTTTGGGTTTTGGTTATCTTTATTGCTTTATTTTTTCTTAGTTTCGCTTCATTTCCACTGTGGCTGGTTGATCTGATGGGGCCACCTCGCATCCCCGCGTTTCTTTAACTTAACACATATTTAAACCTAAACACATACACAACGGAGGGGGAGGCAAAAACAAGAGTATATATTGTAGAGACTTGAATATTCCCAGGTCTGAGGCTGCCAGGCCTATCAGGAGGAACGACCAGTTTATTAAACCTTAGTTAAGGCCACACCTCCAATACTGCAACCAATTTTGGTTAACAGACTATAAAAAAGACTTTGCAAAAAGTTCAGAGAACAGCAACTAAGATGATCAATCGCTTGCTGGGGAATTCTAGGCGTTGAAGTCCACCTTTCTTAAAGAATGCCGGCTGGGGAATTCTGGGAGTTGGAGCCCACCCACCTTCAATGTTGCCATACTGGAGAAACACTGCCTTAAATCTTCCCCAAGACTCTCAAAAGAAAAATAAGTCTTAAAATCCAACTCCATTTAATGGGGAAAGGGGAAAGGAGGAGTTGCCCATTCTACCTAGATTAGAACGTCTGATCTTCTCGAGTATTTTTGGAGGCCGATTGTCATGAGGACACTTTTAAGGCAGTGAGCCTCAGGCTGCTCTTGGGGCCCAGACCCCCAACTGGGATTAACAGATTTGGAAGGGACCTTGGAGGTCATCCAGTCCAACCCCCACGCCCAAGCAGGAGACTCTACACCATTTCAGTTTTAAAGGGGTTGAAATGTGGGGAAGGGGGAGGAGAAGGGAGGCTGAATAAATACCCAGAAAGTGCAAGAAAAATCAGAGGCTTTTGGAGAAGAGAAATGAGGCCTCTTCTTATAAACCACTCGGCTACTGCTAGGAAGAATATGACTGTCAGCTTCGAGTTCACACCATGGTGTGAAAAAGGGTGTGAATTTTTTTTAGCCCACACAGCTGTCAGGCTTTTGGTGAAGGTTGCTGTGAGGAGGAGGAGGAGGAAGAGGAAGAAGAAGAAGAAGAAGAGGAGGAGGAAGAGGAAGAAGATGAAGAGGAGGAGGAGGAGGAGGAAGAAGAAGAAGAAGAAGAGGAGGAGGAGGAGGAGGAGGAGAAAGAAGAAGAAGAGGAGGAGGAGGAGGAAGAGGAGGAGGAAGAGGAGGAGGAGGAAGACGAAGAAGAAGAAAAGGAGGAGGAGGAAGAAGACGAAGACGAAGAAGAGGAGGAGGAGAAGGAGGAGGAGGAAGAAGAAGTAGAAGAGGAGGAGGAGGAGGATGAAGAAGAGGAAGAAGAGGAAGAGGAGGAGGGGGGAGGAGGAAGAAGACAAAGAAGAAAAGGAGGAGGAGGAAGAAGACGAAGAAGAAGAAAAGGAGGAGGAGGAGGAGGAGGAGGAGGAGGAGGAGGAGGAGGAGGAAAGCCAGCTGTAGAAAACAGGAAGGGGGGAAAAAGAGAACGCTTCAAGTGACAGGTGGCAGAAAGGGCCAGCTGGCAAGGGAGCAGAAATACAGCGCCTGGCTTTCAGGAAATCAAGGGGAGGAAGGGAACTTCCCATATACAGGAAATCCTCGGCTTACATACATTCATTTAGCGACTGTTTGTTAAGTTTCAACAGCACCGAAAAAAAGTGACTCGCGCATACGACAACTGTGGCATCCCCAAGGTCATCTGATCAAAAGTCAGGGGCTTGGCAACTGGCATGGATGTATGACAATCCTGGGGGTCATGTGATCGCCATTTGTGACCTTCCCAGCTGGCTTCTGATGAACGGAAATGGTGGCCGTTACGTTAACCGTAAAGCTAGCTTTAAGAAGCACAAGGCTGGAGTTGTTTGCAAGACCTAAACCCAGAGAGCGTCCAAATTCGGCCACTTTAAAAGACTTGTGGGCTTCAAAACTCCCAGAACCCCCCAAGTCTGTGTTGTGTCCTGCCAGCTGCCAGCAGAGCTGGCGACAGGCTCGGATAATGAGGAGGTTGGGGAGGAACTTGGGCCAGTCCCAGAGTCTGGGGAAGGCTCCGATGGATGCTCTGCGTCGGAAGCAGAGCTGGGGCCAGGACCGTCTGATATTTCCAAGCTGCCTTTGGAGTTGGAGATAAGTGGGGAAGAAGAACAGCTGGAGCCTGTTCAGATGTATGTATGCACAGAGCTGTCAGGAGAGGAGAACAACTGAGGAACAGGGGCCAACTCAGGAGGAGGGGCACACGTGGACGCTGAATGGCCCCTCTTTGGGGAATAAACAGAGGCAAGAGGGGAGTGGTGGTTGCAGGAGACAATAGTTCGCTTATTATTATGAAGATTTGCTTAGTTCGTGCCTCAGAGACTCCTTGCCAGGAATTAATTTATAGCTTTGTGACTGGAAGCTCTGGGCCTGGCAATTCTCCAAGGACTGATAAATTGCAATTAATCGTTTGAAGGATTATTGCCAGGACTTTTCTGTGTGTGAATGCCATGAATTCACAGTAACTAAACAAAGAGGGGGTTTTTCGGGATAAGGAGTCTGTTTCTTGGTTCGGCTAAGCCTGGGTCAGAACAGTCGGATACCTCCTTTCCCCGGTGGTTTGATGGAGGGATATCAACGAGGCACCAAGCCAAAGCTCTGACACTGAATGTCTGGCTGGGGAATTCTGGGATGTTGGAAGTCCATGGGTCTTAAAAGTGGTTGAAGTTTGGACACCCCTCTCCAGGAAAGTACAGTTCAAGGGATTTTTTTCCCCCTTGCAGAACCGTTTGTTCCTGTTAAAACAGGGATGGTTCCTTTCCTTTTAGGCTGCAGGATAAACATAATTTATTGAGCTGTTTTGGCCTCCTAGCCTCGCACTGCCGTTTGGTAGCTAATTCTAACCTGGCTTCTCTCTGTGTGTGGCTTGTTGCTTCTTAGCAGCACACGGGGAATCTTCTTCCTACATTTGAGAAGAAGCTATTCGTTCCAGCATCGCGATTCCTCTCTCTCTCTCTCTCCCCAGTTTCCAGTCGCCGTGCCGGTCAAGAAAGAGTGTGCCGAGATGGATGAGCTCGGATCTCCCCTCAGAAGGTGGTTCACGTAGCTGCCAAGCCTTCGCTCACGGGCATGCTAATGTGGGCTGTGAGCAGCGGCTGGCTGATGCCCTCCTTGAGCACAAACACCTGCAGGGGAAAGAGAGAAGACCCAGCTGAAGGCCAAACTGGGGAGGGGGGTTCAAGGGGGAAGGGGGGGTATGGAATTGCTTCCTTTGGAGGAAGGGAACCCTGCAATGTTTTGGAAGACAGAAAGACAGGTGGGATCCCGCAGTGGGAATTGGGGTACCGAGGTAAACATACCAGATTTCTCCAAACAGCAAAATGGGGAATGGGGGAGAAAGGGTGATTGGCGGGTTAGCGTGGTGTTGCGATGGTTAGAATGCCATGTTGCCGGCTAACTCTGCCAACTGCCTGCAGTTCGATCCTGCTGTGTGTCCCAAGGTCATGTGATCACCTTTTGCAACCATTCCAAACAAATCTATTCTTAAAATCCTCCAGTGTTTTCACCATTCACAATTTCTGGAGGCAAGTTGTTCCACTGGTTCGTTGTTCTCGCCGTCAGGAAATTCCTCCCTAGTTCTAGGTTGCTTCTCTCCTGGATTAGTTTCTACCCGTTGCTTCTTCTCCTGCCTTCTGGGGCTTTGGAGAATAGCTTGACCCCCCCTCCTCTTCTTTGGGGCAGCCCCTCAAGTATTGGAAGACTGCTATCAAGCCACACACCCACAATCTTTTGGCCCTCTAGATTCAACAGAGTAACAGAGTTGGAAGGGATTTTGGACATCTTCTAGTCCACCCCTCTGCTTAAGCAGGAGAACCTATATCATCACAAACAAGGGATTGTTCGGTCTCCTCTTGAAAGCCTCCAGGGATGAAGCATCCACAACTTCTGGAGGGAAGGTATTCCATATAAATTGCTCTCACCATTAGGGCATTTCTCCTTGGTTCTAGATTCCTTCTCTCCTTGATTAGTTTCCACCCATTGTTTCTTGTCCTGCCTTTTGATCTTTGGGGAATAGACTGAAATCCTCCCCGCTTTTCTTTGTGGCAACTCCTCAAATATTGGAAGACAGCAATCAGGTCACGCCGAGTCCTTCTTTTCATTAAACTAAGGGTCTTCAAACTTGGCAAGGTTAAGACTCATGGACTTCAACTCCCAGAATTCCTGAGCTAACATGACTGGAGGAGGAGGAATTCTGGAGGAGTTGAAGTCCACAAGCCTTAAACTTGTCAAGTTTGAAGACCCTGGCATTAAACTAAAGGATTGGGGGCTTGAACAGTGGGAAAAACCAACTTAAGGCCACCAACCTTGATAACATCCGAGATCGCTTGGTCGCTGAGACACTCGACAAAGGTGGCTAAACGATAATTCAGTCCCGGGATCAACATCGGAGCCTGAAAGGAAAATTGAAAAAAGGGGAAATAAATACAGATACTCCTCGACATTCATTTAGTGACTGTTTGAAGTTACAGCAGCACTGAAAAAAAGTGACCATTTTTCACACTTGGCCATTGGCTCGTATTTATGACAGTTGCAGGCTCAACTGCAGTCGTTAACACGGAGGACTACCTGTATAGTCAACACCTGGAT